CTTTTTTAAAAAAAAAAAAAAAAAAAAAAAAAAAAAAAAAAAAGATGCTCTCCAATATGTTCAAATCTTAGCAGAAAACATGCAGCAGCCACAACGACCAAAGCAGCTGTCACAATCCCAACCTCAAAGGTGGCAAGGACAGCCATTTATAAAGAGATTCCCCCAAAGATATAAAGATGAAGGAATCAACATTTACCTCCTTTCTTGTTGTTTCTACTTTGGTCTTTTCCTTTGACCCGGATTTTGGCATTTCCTTTGTGTGTCCATCAGGTATGTATATCAAGACGCATGGGGCTTCTTTGCAGCTATACGGGCTAAAAAGAAAATGGCCAAAAGTTTATTTGAATAAAAGTACCTAAATAGGACTTAAAATTGAGTTCCTGGATCCATTCAATGATACGGAGTGAATGGTTTTTAAAGTGCAGTCCATTCTCAGAACTGAAATCAGAGGCTCTTAAGAGTAGTTTTAAAGCAGTAAGTATATGAGTAAAAGTTAGCAGCTTTTATTACAAACTTACATTTATGATCTTCCAAAGATATGAATCAGTGAATCTCATGGCAAAAGTCGATCTACCCTATGTGCTGCTACAAACAGCATTAGTGACACTACGTGTGCTAGCCCATGGCTGCAATCCAAGTACTCTGTGGGATCAGAGTTTGAGGCTTGAGGCCAGCCTGGGCTGCAAAAATAAGAAAAGGCATGGCTGGGTTTGAAATTCCCCCGATGGAAGACAATGCACCTGCACACCACGCCTAATGTCCCTAAGTTTCTCTAAGACTTTGCTTTTATAAATTATACACTGACTGAGAAAACATTCCCAGTGAAAGACTGCAAACTGTAGTAAAAACCACAAAGTAGAGAGTAATTTAGTAACACTAGGATATTAATTCCTCAGTATTTTTGTTTTCTTGAGATAATTCACATACAAAAACATTCTTTGGGCTAGCAAGATGACCCAGCAGGTAAAGGCATTTGCCATGCAAGCCTAGTGACCTGAGTTTGATCCCTGGAACCTAGGTAAAGATGAATGAGAGAACAGCCATCCTCTGACCTCTGTACATCCTCTGGCCCCTTCCCCTATCATATATACACAGCAATTATTTTTTTTTAAAATTCTTTGAATATATACAACTCAGCAGCTCTATAAAAATGTTTAATCACCATTTTAATTCAGAACACTTACATCACAACAAAAAGGAAACTGCCCTGTAGCTACTTCTCCCCAGTACCCCCTAAGGTCCTTAGGCCCTGACAGCTACTGATTTTCCTATGACGTTTTCAATTCTGGATATTCTATGTACGTGGGTTAAGACAAGAGACACTTTGCCATGACTGTTTTTTCTACTGGCATGTTTACAAAGCTCAACTATAATGCAGCAGGAGCTCATACTTCATTTGTTTTGTTGTACAGGCAGAGTACATTTTGTTTATGTGAGCGGGCATTTCTAGCAATTATGAATAATACAGCGATGGGCATTTGCTTCAAGTTCTGGCATAACAGGTTTCAAGTGCCCGGCAAAGAAAGAGCCATGACTTCACCACTGGGAGGAACTGCCAAACTGCTGTCTTCTCTCAAGTGGCCATTATTTTACAATCCCAGCAGTACAGAGGCTCTGATTTCTGTATACCTCCTCCAACATGTGCTTCTGTCTTCTATCTTTTTCATTTCCATTCAGCAGCAGACATGGAGCAATGATCTCACTGTGGCCCTGCTACATTTTCTTAGGGCCTAATGCTGAGTGCTTCTTCACATATCTACTAACTGATGCTGAGTGCCTCTTCACGTGTTTAATAACCATATTATATCACCTTTGGAGAAGTATCCATTCAAATGGAGAAGTATCCATTCAAATCCTATTTCCATTTTTAACAGGATTATATGTCTTTACATTCCTTTTGGATAAGAGTGCTTTTATCAGATAGGTAAAGTCCTTTGAAACACAATTTCTTTTTCAATTCTCATGAAGTCTAATTTATTTTTTTCTTCAGCTGTTTATACTTAGATGTTACACCCAAGGGAAACATTGTTTAATTTTTACAGATTTGCTTATGTTTTCTTCTGATAGTGTTATAATTTGAGATTGTACACTGAGGTCTCCAATAAATTTTGAGTTAATTTTTGTATATAAGCTAAAGTCCAACTTTTATATGTGGCTATGCTGTTTTTCTAACATCAGTTGTCTAAAAGTTCAATTTTTTGAGAAAAAGCTTAAGATGCTATTATTGTTACTCTAGTTGGAAGCAGCACCACCACTAAATGCTCAAGGGCTCAGAAAGTACTGAACACTGTGCTCTATTGTCCCTATGCATGATCTGACTAGAGACAATGTGCTTCCAAGACCAGTACACACATTAAGACCAGTAGACACATCTACAGCTACGGGCTTAAGTTCTAGTGGAAACAAATACCAGGACACACAGTTTCAACATGTAACAACATGTAACAAACATTCTAAAAGGGAAAAGGCCAGCTGTATGAGGTGAGGCTTTTCATCTAGGAGAATGCAGACAACTCCACAGGAAGTTGCATTTGGAAGGTTATTGAGATAAGACAGAAAACTTTGGCTGGGCATGGGAGGTACATACCTTTAGTTCCAGCATTTGGGAGGCAGAGGCAGGTGGAGCTCTGTGAGATCAAGGCAAGCCTGGTCTACATAGTTCCAGACCAGACTAGCCAGGGCTACATAGTAAAGCCCTGTCTCAAAACAAAATGCTGGCTCATTGCAGGAAGAGGTAGAAGTTCAAAGGGACATGATGCTTTGGAACACACAAGAAGTCTACAGTGCTGCATGAGAGAGATCAGGGTGGGGATGGCTTATGTGGGCCAAGACATGAAAAATCTAACATTTCAAACACAAAATTTGGATTTTACTCTAAAATTATCAAAAATCGTAAGTGGAGAAGAGATATAATAGCTGCTTTGAAATTTTTAGACTGGTGGCCATGTAAAAAGTGGACCAGTACAGGTAAAACAGGAAGTAAAGACACACTTGAGAAGCTATGAAAGAGGAACTGGAGAGATGGTCCAGTGGTTAAGAGCATGTACTGCACTTACAGAGGACCAGCACTCACGTCAGGCAGACAATTTACAGAAACCTGCAACTCCAGCTCCAGGGGATCTGACTCCCTGACTCCCTCTTCTGGACTCTGCAGGTACTTGAGATGTACCCCTCCCCCCATGACACACACACACACACACACTGTACCCCCTCCCCCCATGACACACACACACACACACACAAAGCGAGCGAGAGCACACGCGTGAGAGACAGACAGACAGACAGACAGAGACAGAGAGACAAAGAGACAAAGGCAGAATCCAGGAAATATAAAAGTTTCCTAGAACCCTGGAGTACTAGAAACATGGAGCAGACAGGACTGGGGTGAATTTATCCTCTTTTGTTCTGTAAATACTGGATTTAGGATATAGTTTAAAAGTTGATTTTTCAGTTTCTTTAAACTTCTGATATAATTACTTCCCTTTTCGGTATAAATTTTGGGATAATTATGTGGAACGTTCACATTTAAGGTAAAAAGTGATTATGTTTATCTCTC